CAGGGATGAGCAGCAGGATGCTTCATCCCCCTGGCTCTGCACAGAGGGGCTGCCAGCAATGCCCACCCAGCACCGACCATGCAGGGCTGACAGCTGGAATGCAGCTGGAGCCAGCAGAGAGCCAGGAATAACGGCTTCAAACAGACAGAGGGCAGGGGTAGACGGGATATTGGCAAGAAATCCTTCCCTCTGAGGGTGGGCAGGCCCTGGCACAGGTGCCCAGAGGAGCTGTGGCTGTCCCTGGGTTGCTGGCAGTACCCAAGGCCAGGTTGAACAGGGTTTGGAACAACCTGGGACAGTGGGAGATGTTCCTGACATGACAGGGGGTGGAATAGGATGTTTAAGTTCCCTCCTAGCCCAAACTAATCTTGGATTCTACAAACATATCCCCCCCCCCCAAAAAAAAAAAGTAAATATCACAGCCAAATGGGGAAAGCTGAAAACTGCAATCTGAAGTATTCAGCTTCACAAGCTGAACTTCACAATCTAAACATTCCCCACAGTGCCTGGACGGGCAGGACACAGGAGGGACAGGTGGGACACAGCGAGGAAGGAGCATGGCTGGGCACTGTGCTCCCAGAACACAAAGAATTGCATGGGAACAAGCAGATATTCCAGGTCCAAAGCTGGAGCATGCCGCTGGCCTCTGGGCACAGAAATGGGGGATTATGGTGAGGAGGGTATTTGCAGGCTCAGCCCCTGCCTGAATGGAAGCTTGGAGGCAGGGAATGGTGGCACAGGGCTGGATTCTCCTGGAATTGGATTAATGGGTTCAGCTGTGTGGTTAATGCCACTAAGCCAGCAGGGAGCCAGGCCCGGTTCTGCCACCACCCTGCTGCTCCCTGAGCTCGCCCTGACCCAGCTCAGGGATGGTCACACCAAGGGATGGGAGCAGGGCTGGTGGCATCAGGACAGCTCCTGACGGGGCAGGGGGAAGCTCAGGGACAGGATGACTTCTCCTTGCTCCATCCCGTGCCCCAGCCCAACAAAGCTCCAGCGGCCACCGGCACGTGGCTGCTCCCGGGGGACAGCGCGGCCGGCCCGGCCAGGGGAGCAGAACAATCCCGGGAAGTGACCGGACGGGGGGGACACGAGGGGACAGGATACCGTGCTGGCCACCGCCACCGGCATTGTCTCTCTGGATGAGGTCAGAGGCTGAGTGGGGAACAGGCTGGAGGAAGCAACACCAAGGCCAGATCACAGCGCCCGCCACGCTCTGAACCTCACCCGGGACTCGGGGAACACGTCCCCTTCCATCCGTGGGGGCTGGCACCCCTGGGAGGGGGGGCTCTCCTGTCCCCTGGGCAACTGGAGGTCACCCAGAGGCTCCCCAGGGACACCAGGAGTCCGTGGAGCTCCCAGCACTGTGGAGGATCCTCCCAGCTCTGGGGTGCAGCAGCGAGCCCTGGCAAACCCAAAAGGACCCAAATTCTCCCTGTCCTGTAAATGTGGAAAAATCCCTCCGTGCTCCAAAGGCTGGAGCCCCTCTGCTCTGGAGCCAGGCTGGGAGAGCTGGGACTGCTCACTTGGAGAAAAAGAAGTTCCAGGGAGACCTCAGAGTCCCTTCCAGAGCCCAAAGAGGCTCCAGAAGAGCTGGAGAGGGACTTAGGACAAGAACAAGGAGGGAGAGGACACAGGGAGTAGCTTCCCACTGCCAGAGGGTAGGGATGGATGGGATACTGGGACGAAATTCTTCCCTTTGAGGGTGGGCAGGCCCTGGCACAGGTGCCCAGGGCAGCTGTGGCTGTCCCTGGATCCCTGCACGTGCCCAAGGACAGGTTGGATGTGGCTTGGAGCAGCCTGGGACAGTGGGAGGTGTCCCTGCCCATGGCAGGAGGTGGAACAAGATGGGCTTTAAGGTCCCTTTCAACCCAAACCATTCTGGGATCCCAGAAAAATATGTGAGGAGGCTTTACAGGACAGAAAGCCTGTGACATCCCTGTGGTTAGGTTGTCTCCCAAAATAGCTACAGCCTCTTTCACTATCACAGCCAGACGGTCTGGGCAGCTGGGGACTTCCCCTCCCCAGAGAGCTGAGGTTCCTCTCCAAATTGCAGAGGGACAACAGATTCTTTTAGGGGAACTCCTCCTTCTCCTCCTCTTTCTGCCCCCTCAGCGGCTGGGGAGATCCAGGTGGGAGCAATTTCACTGAGGAACATCACACCTTGGCAGGGTGAGAGCTTCCCCAGCTCCATCAGCCCCCTGGTATGGACATGGTGGTCTTGCCTTGAGGGATGCATCCCGCCATCCCTTTTTCCTGGGGACATGAGAGGGGGGAAAGCAGGGAGGTACAGGCAACCCCTGCCCTGAGGGGTCCCTACAGTGGTGCCCTCCATGAAAGACATGACACAGGGCCATCCCCACGGAGCTGTCACCTCCAAGTCCCAGCAGGTCCATCTGGGTCCCCAGGGAGGCAGGAGATCTGCTCCAAGCCAGAGCTGCATCCCCCAGCCTGGAAAAGGGGCTGGCTGGGGACCAGGGGAGGAAATGTGTGGGACCCAGTGCCAGCAAACACCTCTGTGGGGTGTGGAGGAGCCACAGGGAGCCAGGCTTGTGTGAGCCAGGCTTGTGGGAGCTGGGCTTGTGTGAGCCAGGCTTGTGCAAGCCAGGCTTGTGTGAGCTGGGCTGGTTTGTGGGAGCAGCTGCACGCCCCTGCAGCCGCCTCGCTCACGTTACCCACTTCCAGCTGCCATCACTTCTGAGAAAACACCCAGGGGCCCTTGGGGACTGCAGCAGGGAGCAGTGACAGCCTCGCTGGTGGCCCCTGCAGCAGCACAGCCCCACTCCAGCCTGGCCAGGGCTGGGTTGGATGCTTTTCCTGCCGTGGGGAGCAGGACCCAGGGGAGGAACTGCCTGTATGGCAGGACGTGCGTGTTTGCTCTGATGGATTTTGCAGCACCTCCAGGGCACGTGCAGGGCCACAGACCCTGTAACCCACGGACCCTCTGACCCACAGACATTCCTACACACCACAGCCTCCAGCTCATGGACCCCCCAGCCCCTCAGCCTTATATCCCCGTGAGTGTGGGAGCAAGGTCAGGGCTCCTCCCAGGCTGAACAACAGCCCTTGGACAACTGTCCCTCCATGGGACAGTGGATGTCACAACCTCCAACTCAGGGCCACTGTGGTGTGTCCCCAGGCTCTTTATGGGGTTCCCAGGAAAATGAATCCTCCCCCTGTCCCCACAGAAGAGCCCCCATGCCCAAAGGGAGCTGCTTCAGCAATGTGCAGAAGCCACAGAATCATGGAATCATTTAAGTGGGAAAAGCCCTCCAAGACCATCGAGTCCAACTGTTCCCCAGCACAGCCAAAGCCACATTAATCCATGTCCCCAAATGCCACATCCACATGTTTTTTGAATATTTCCAGGGGTGGGGGTTCCACCACTTCCCTGGGAAGCCCAGCATGGAGGTTTAGGATAATCTGCTGTCGGCACAGGACAGGGCTGGCATTAGGGTCTCTGTCACCCCACACACAGGACTGGCACCGTGGAGTGCCCAGTGACACCCCCTGAGCCCCCAGCCCCAACCCGAGCGGGTGCTGAGGTCTGTCACTGGGGTGGGAGAGGCTCCTGTGCTGATGGGATAGCTCAGCCATGGGGCAGGGACAGCTCCCACCCACCCACCCACCCACCCCGAGGGGCTGGAGGAGCCTGGGGTGACACCCCAACCTGCTCCTGGCAACCCCCACAACAAACAAACCCCTGGAGCGTCACCAGAGCTGTGCTGTGGCTGCGGGGTTATCGGCCTCAGCAGATTTAGCAGATTTGGGGCTGGAAAATATTTATTTTTGTAGCTTGGCAACATTTGCCACTGCTGTGGGGGTGGAAGGGGGCGAATGTCACTGGGGACAGCGACAGCTTGAGCGTCGCTGTCACCCATCAGGACGGTGCTGGCTGGGGTGGGTTTAAAGCTCCTTCCTGCACAGGGTGGGGAGGAGCTGCTGCTGCTCCAGGGGCAGAACAGGACCGTGGGTCAGAACAGAACAAAACCAGAGTCAGAGCAAGACAGCGAGGGCGAAATGCTGAGCCCAGTGACTCAGAGGGGAAAAACGCCCTCAGTGACACGGGGGCTGCTGCCATCAGCACAGTGGGACAGTCCCCACACCACCCTGGCCCCAGTGATGGGGGCTGTGTGTCCCCACAGAGGGTCAGGGGCAGATCCCTGAGTGTCACAGACATTTCTGAGTGTCACCACCCCGGCACACACTCACTCCCATCTCCTGGCTGCCCCTCGGGGTCCATTTGGGACAGACATCAGTGGTCACAGCATGGGGACAGCAACAGCCCAGAGCATCCCCCTGCCAGCCCTGCCACCCTCCTGCTGGACCTGCACTACCAGGCTGGGATCTGGCTGGCAGAGGGGGTGTCCAACATCCTCCTGCTCAGCACCCAGGGACCAGGGCTGAGGGCAGAAACCAAAATTGCCCATTTTCTGCTCAGACAAGCCACAGCAGAGCCACACGTGACCCTGCTCCGCGTGGAGATGACAGGGAGAGAGGGGGACAAGCAGAACCACAGGTTCCTCTTCTGTCATCCCAGTGCTCAGGGTGGCACCTCCCAGGGACGGGAAACTCCAGGGGGAAAGACAGGAGGGGAATCCCGGGGGGACCCATCATCCACAGTCAAACCTCACTCAAAGCTCAGCTGGGCAGAGGGCTGCAAATCCACATCCCTGGCCTTGTTCCTGGGCTGCTGACAGGGCAATATCCAGGGGAAGTGGCACCAGAGCATCTCCCTTTGGAAGCAGGGCCCTGCATCCCAGAAGGGTGACAGGCAGTGCTCCATCTCCCTGAGCAGGTGGGGAAAGGCCTGGACTCTGCACCCTCTGCCACCCCACAGTGTCCAAGCACCAAGGGGGAGGCAGGACAAGGGATTCCTGACAATCCTCTTCAGGAGGCACATGCTGCTGAACTTGCTTCCTGAGTTTTCCTCCTTTTCCAATGCCAGGCACCCCTGCTCCCACCCTTGCCAATGGCAAAAAGATGGACACAGACAGGCAGAGGTTTAAAATCCTGTTCACAGAACCACATCCCCTCTGTACAGCACAAAATATATTTTTACAGTATTTACAGCAGCAGCTGGGGCAGAGGCACTTGGGGGGCAGAGAGGGGCCTGATTTGGGGCTCCCCATGCAAAGCAAAGGTCAGCAGTGACAGATGCCACCAAGGCTTCCCAGCCTGGGGGGGACACTGGGGTCATGCTAACATCCTGCAAGCTGATCTTCCCCAAAATTACTCTGGGGGCTTCAGCAGCAGCCCAGCTCTCCCCCAAACCCCAGAGCCACCAGACCTCATCCAGGGCAGGGCCAGGACACCCAGGGCTGTCCTCTCCTGGCGCTGGCAGGGCCCTGCCACCATTGTCCCACGGCCGGATCCGTCCCCATGCCCATCCCTGTCCCCGGAGCCGTCCCCACCCCAGCCAGGGGTGCAGAAGCAGAGGCAGCATCAGGGAGACTCAGGGCTGGGGCTGCTCCTCTCCAGACTCCACAGCACAGCTCACATCTCTGCAGGATGACACAGAAGATGGTTACAGTCTGCAGGGTTACAGCAGAAATCTGGGGCAGGGGGTCAGCTCTGGTCCCCTCCCTCCCTCCCAGCATGGCTGGGCCTGCAAAGGAACAATTCCCACCAGCCACCTCAATTTGGACACCAGGGATGGGAACAGATACCAGAACTGTGCCTTACACAGTCTGCATGGGGGGAAATGTTTCTTTAACCAGGTTCTCTCTGCCTCCAGCCTGTCACGCAGGGCCCCTGTGGGAGGAAGTGGCTTCTGCCTCGGTTTCCCCAGCCAAGCAGCCATTGGGGAGCAGCCAAACTCTCCAGAGCTGCTGGGTACAGATGCCAGAGATGCCCAGCACAGCCTCACCCCCTCTCACAGGGGGCTCTTACTAGCAGGGAAACATCTGGAGGAGGAGAGCATGACCAACAGGCTGGGATTGCCCTCCCTGCCACCACACAGACCCACTCTCCTCCCTCCTGATGGGCTAGGTCAGGATACACCACAAGGGAAGATCCTTTTTTTCCTCCTGCTCACCTTCCCCCCCAAGTAAAGTGCAGCCTCTGAGCAGCAGCTGGAGGGAGGCTGCAGGCAAGGGCCACAGGTCTCTGTGCATGTTCCCAAAAACATCAGCAGCTCTGCAGGCTGTGCTGTTGGCTTCACTGCCAGGACTAACCCAGCCTCCATGTCCCCTCCCCCAGGCACCTGCACTGCACCTCATCTGAGGAAACGGAGGCAGCAGGGGGGAAGACACTTAAGCCATGGAATTTCTTCCCAAGCTGAAAGAGCCTGAAGAAGGAGGTGATATCCATGACCCCTCCCCAAAAGGAAGGATGGAAGGGCTCCACCCCTGCAGCCAAAATCAAGTTCCAAGCTCCCTGCAGCGGGACCCCCAGGCAGAGGAGGTGCTGGCCAGGCTGTGCCGAGTCAGGGGCAGCGAGGGAGGCCAGCCCAGGTGTCCCCTCCCCTGGGAAGGACAGGGATCAAGGCGGGACATGTACCCTCCAAGGCTTTATCCAGGTCTGCGATGAACTCCTCCAGCTCCTGCGTGTCTCCAAGCTTTGCTAGTGGGGAAAAACAGGGTCAGGTCTTCCCATTCCCCCCCTCACTGGGGAGAGAGAAGGACACCAACCCCTTGTTCCTGCACAGCTGCTCCAGCTGTGTCTGTCCCAGCCAGTCCAGCCTCAGCTGGGAAAATCCCAATCCCACTTCTGCCTCTTCCAGGCTCCTGCCAGGACACAGGGGCTCATTCCCACTCTGTAGGGCCCCATTGGCACCCCCCTCTCCAGGACTGGCCATCATTGCCAAGCCCAGCTGAGCACAGAGAAGGAAACCCTGCAAACCCCTTTGGGTGGGGCCAGGCTCACCTTTGGTGGGATAAGTGTCAGCTGGGCTGTTGAGGTGCTCCTCACTGGAGTTGAGGCTGCTTCCCGGGGACGTGCTGGCACCTGCAGAGACAGAGCATCAGTCCCTGGCTGGGCACAGGCACCTGATGAACACTTTGTAGGAACACGGCCCGATCACACCCATGGCACAGGGTGGCACACTTTTGGAGACCCCATCTGCTCCTCCCCTGTTTCCAGGAATGCTTGGAAAAATGGAAGTGAGTTTCTTTCTCAGGTCAAAGAGCACCAGAGGTTGTGTGGACACGGTTACAAGGACGGGGTTATTACAGAGAACTGGGTTATCCCCAGCCTCTCACGGTGCTGCTGCAGCCTGCCTGGCACAAGGAGCCCTGGCAGATGTTGGCAGGTCCTGGGCCAGTATCCAGTGGTCATCCCCTCATTGCTCATCCAGCCCACCAGGGCTGAGCCAGGCAGCATCAGCAGGAAGATGTGCTCCATGGAGGAACCACGGAGCTCCCACCCTGGCAGACACCATCCTCCCCAGGGCTCCTCACGCCCAGCCCCAGACTCACTCTCCAGCTCATCGATGCCACTGTCATACACCCTCTGTCCCGCTTTCCTCTTCAGCTCCTCCAGGTGCTGCTGGTACTGACTCGCAGGGCCCCGGGCGAAGTCCTCCATGACCTCCTCGAACTCCCTCAGCAGCTCACTGAGCTCCTCGGCCATCGCTGGGGGAAACGTGGCGGTGTTGGGCTACTCACCTGGCAGGCAGGGCCAGCAAGAGCCTCTTGGGAGCAGCTCGGGCTGGGGATGGGCAGAGCCAGGCTCCAGGTCCCATCTCTGCAGGCAGTGGCCAGCACTGGTCTGACACACCCAGCTCCTCGGGCAGCTCAGCCTTCCCTCCAGCTCATCCCACAGCTGCGCTGGGGCCAGCCCAGTGAGAGCTGCTCCTACACAGGCTGGACAGAAACCCAGGAGGGTTTGAGCAGGAAGGGACCTTAAAGCCCATCCAGTGCCACCCCTGCCATGGCAGGGACGCCTTCCACCATCCCAGGCTGCTCCAAACCCCATCCAGCCTGGCCTTGGGCACTGCCAGGGACCCAGGGGCAGCAGGGCTCTCCGGCAGCCTGGCGGCACACGGAGGAGCGGAGCAGGGCACAATCCCCGGCCGGGGCAGCCCGGGAGCCCCGGCTGCATCCCGGCCCGGGGGATACCCGGGAGCCCCGGCTGCATCCCGGCCCGGGGGGATACCCAGGAGCCCCGGCTGCATCCCGGCCCGGGGGATGCCCGGGAGCCCCGGCTGTACCCCGGCCCGGGGGATACCCGGGAGCCCCGGCTGCATCCCGGCCCGGGGGATGCCCGGGAGCCCCGGCTGTACCCCGCCCCGGGGGATGCCCGGGAGCCCCGGCTGCATCCCGGCCCGGGGGATGCCCGGGAGCCCCGGCTGCATCCCGCCCGGGGGATGCCCGGAGGCTCCGGGGACACAGGAGCGGACTCCTGGCGGGTTCCGGGGAGGCGGCATCCCCCGGTTCGGCTCGGTACTCACCGGCTGCTCGGCTCCCCGCGCTCCGCTCCCGGCGCCTCCCGCTCCGCTCCCGCTGCTTTTGGCCCCGCACCGGGGCTGGGCGGGGCTGCGGGAGGCTCCGCCCCCAAAACGGCCCCGGGATCCCCGGTGCCGCCCCCAAACACCCCCTAACACACACCCCCTAAAAAACACCCCCTAAAAAACATCCCCTAACAAACACCCCAAACACCCCCTAACACACACCCCCTAACAAACACCCCCTAAAAAACACCCCCTAACACACACCCCCAACAGCCCCTAACATACACCCCCTAACAAACAAACACCCTCTAACAAACACCTCAAACACCCCCTAAAAAACACCCCAAAACACCCCCAACAGCCCCTAACATACACCCCCTAACAAACAAACACCCCCTAAAAAACACCCCCAAACACCCCCTAACGCACACCCCAAGCACCCCCTAACAAACCCCCCAAACACCCTCTAACAACCCCAAACATCCCCAACAATCACCCCAAACACCCCCTAACAACCCCCCCCAACAAACACCCCCAACACCCCCTAACAAACACCCTCTAACAAACACCCCCAACAAACACCCCAAAAACCCCTAATAAATACCACAAACACCCCTAACAAACCCCCCTAACAAACACCCCCTAACAAACACCCCCTAACAAACACCCCAAACATCCCAAACACCCCTGAACAAACATCCCCAAACACCCCCAGACAAACATCCCCGAACTCTCCCCGTCCCGTCTCGCTCCTGACAAACCCCAGACAGGAGGTGGAACAGGGGGTCAGGCTCAGCTCCCTGGGAACAAGGGACAGGGAGGGTCAAGCTGTGCCAGGGGACGGTCAGGTTGGATATTAGGGAAAATTCCTTCACGGACAGGCCTGTCCTGCCCTGCCACAGCTGCCCAGGGCAGGGATGTGGCACTTGGGGACATGGGTTGGGGTGGCCTTGGCAGTGCTGGGGAATGGTTGGGCTGGGTGACCTTGGAGGGCTTTTCCAACCTCAAGGGGTCCACAGTTCCCTCCCACAGGTTTCCCAGAGAGCTGTCGAGCCCAGAGCTCTGTGTCTAGCCCTGCCCTGGATCCTGGTCAGCAGCACGAGGGAGACACAGGGGCTCAAAAAAAGAGGAGCTCGGGCTCTGCTTTCTTTGCTGTTGACTCTAAAGCCACCCATGAATCCGAGCAGCCGGTCCCACTCCTGCAGATACTCCCTGTTGTAACCTCATACAAGCCCAAGGCCTGGCTCTGCCTGTGAACCCCCACGGTCTGAGGGGCTCAAGGGGGCTTTGGTGGGGCTGGAGCTAAAAACCAGCCAGAACCACCCCAACAGCAGCAACTGCCCCCAAAAACCAGCAGCCACCCCCCAAACAGTGACCAGCCTCAAAACAGCTCCTGAGAGCCACCACCCCCCCACCCCGAGCAGACTCCCCAAACATTCACCATCCCCCCAAAAGCCACCACTGCCCCTAAAGCAACCACCCCCCTCCAAGCAATCACCCCCAACAGCAGCAACCCCTCCTGTGCCAGCACTGGGGATCAGCAAAGATCAGGACAGGACCTGCCCTATTGTTCCTGAGGTGACTCCCAAGGCTTGCAGGGGCAAGGAGCCCACAGAAACAGAACCTGGAGCGTGACAAAAGCCAGCCAGCCCCTCCAGAGCGGGTCCAGAGCAACGCCAAGGCTCCATGAATGACATTTGCAGCTGACTGGGGAGAAGGTTTATTTCGTGAGGCTGGAGTCAAGCAGCTCCAGGGCTGCTCCCACGGGAGGCACAGTCTCTGTGCAGCTGCAGGAGGCTGTGGCCAGGCTGCCCTCAAGTGGAGTTTCCAGCAATATCCCATCAACACTGCCAGGGATAAACTCCTACAGCGACTTCGATGGTTCTGGAGTAGCCAGAGAAAGCTGGAGCTTCCCAGTGAGCTCCCCCTGCCCCCATTATGGAGCTGGGAAAGAGAAATCCAACAGGACTTTTCCAGAGAAGAGCTGCCTCCTGTGTCAGCATCCCTGTTTCATCCTAGAATCATGGATCATAGAATGGTTTGGGTTAAAAGGGACCTTAAAGTCCATCCCATTCCAGCCCCTGCCATGGGCAGGGACACCTTTCATTGTCCCAGGCTGCTCCAAGCCACATCCAGCCTGGCCTTGGAGATTTCCAGAGATCCAGGGCAGCCACAGCTGCTCTGGACAACCTGTGCCAGTGTTTTACCACCCTAGGAAGGAATTTGAAAGGCTGGAGGCTGCTCTTGCAGCAGGTACAATCCCACCCAGAGCAGTGGCTGGACACAATGTTGGTTTCACAGCTGACACTCGAGTGTTCCGGTGGCCTCTGGAACCTTCCACAGCCTCATGGTGTCCCAAATTTATCTGCTCCTCCAGACACAACAGCTCTGCTGCTCTTTGGAGCTTATCAGCTCCCAGGGGGTCTCACCAGCTATCTCACAGCACAGGCTCCCCCGGGAAATGCTTCCCCACCCATCCCAACTGTTCTGATCTTCAGGGAAGGGACCTTTGCAAAATAAGAGCCCAGCCCTGAGCGGGGCACCTGAGAAGGTCTGGGTGCCTTCAGGCCAGGACTGGGTGCAGGCTGTGGTGGAATATGGAATACTGTTTGCAGAAGTACTGTTTTATCCCCAGAAGTGCTCTGCTGTGGCTGCCCCATCCCTGGAAATGTTCAAGGCCAGAAGGCCAGGCTGGATGGGGCTTGGAGCAGCCTGGTGCAGTGGAAGGTGTCCCTGCCTGTGCCAGGCCCCACCACCCTCACGGGGAAGAATTTCTCTGAATATCCCATCTAGCTGTGCCCTTTAGCAGTGGGAAGCCATTCCCCTTGTCCTGTCCCTCCAGGCCCTTACAAAAGCATTTGGATAGATGGATAAGCTCCCTCTGGGCCGTCTCTTCTCCAGGCTGAGCAGTCCCAGCCTCCTCAGCCTGTCCTCCTAGGAGTGCCCACAGGTTTAGGGATGATTAAACCCATTCCCTGAGGTGCTGTGAGAAGGAAGGAGGTGGCAGTGCTTGGACCTGCAGGGAGGTGCCAGCCTGGCAGGTGACCCCCGAGTACAGCTCTGCCCCCAGGGCACAGGGGCTGCCCCCAAAGTGAGGCAGGGGCTGGGTTTTGCTGGGAAAAGCTGCCTGGTTTTGTCCAGAGAGCCTGGCCAGGGCTTGCTAGATGCCAACATCCAGGTTGAGGAAGGAGACGCTGCTGTACAGCTCCGAGGAGACCGAGCCTCGCTCCAGGCTGTGTGTCCAGCCGGGCCGTGCGGATGGAGCGATGTCCTCCCTGCAACCCTCACGCTCTGGGCTCCTAAGGGAGCAAAAAAGAGAGAGATGCTGTTTGCAAATGCTTCTTCTGCTCACTGCACTCCCAAATGGGCTCAAGCAGTGATCCCAAAGATTGCCATCCCCAGACAGTACCAAAAGGAATGTGAAGACAAACAAGAAGTTGTAGTATGGATCACAGACTCCTAGGTTTGGGTTGGAGGAAACTTTGAAGAGCATCTAGTCCATGGGCAGGGATACCTTCCACTAGACTAGGTTGCTCCAAGCCCCATCCAAACTGGTACTGAAGTGGCCTGTGGTCCAGGAAAACCCTTCCCACAGGACAGTTCATGTTTACTGAAGAGTCACCAGGTCTCCTGAAGGCTCTTGAGGATCCCCTGTTTTCAACCATTCCCTACTTCCAACCCCAGGGAGCAAACCCCCTCCTGCAATATGTGCCATGGTGGACCCAGCTCATGGGACATGAGGTCCTTTCAGCCCCACCATCTTTAACCTTAGGGAAGGGCACGAGCTCCAGTTCTGAGCCTTGGTGGGACTGTCCCGTCTTGCACCCGAAATGTGGATGTATGGACAGCCCCACACAGATACACGGGGCGGGCAAAGACTGCAGGGAAACGTGGACACCGAGGATGGAGGAGGTTTGGAGAGGGCTGGTGGTGGAGCAGGAATCAGCGTGTGACACTGAGAGGCAGGAGCAGGGGAAGGGCTGGACAGGAGCCCTGTGGATACCAAAGCTCTGGAGAGGGCTGGCACAGGCTGAGGAGCAAACAGGGACAGCAGGGAGCTCTGGGGATGGGCAGGATGGAGTGTGAAGGGCTTTTGCTGGGGAGCTCATAACCAGAGTGCTGTAGGAAGGAGCAGTCTGGAGGAAGATGAGCAGGGTGTGCTGTCACCTGTCCCTGTGCCCTGAGGAGCCCCTTGGGAAGTCAGGGAACTTCCTGCGCAGCAGGTACTCGATGACATCGGGGTCTGTCTGGAACAGCCTCCTCAGGATGTCACACTGCATCTCCGGAGACACCTGGGGAGACACAGCCACACCACTCATGGGGTCCCTCTCGGCAGGAGGCTGAGCAGAGGCAGCCAAGGAAGGACCCCAGGATGTGGTCACAGACCCAGCATGTTTGTGTCACACCCCACACACCTCCCAGGCTCTGCAGGATCTCAGCCCCTGCTTTCCCCACACTATCCACAGTCCTTTGGCTCCCTGCAGACCCCAAAAATTGCTATAAGGCTTTTTGGGGGTCTGAAATGCCACATTCCAATAGACCTGAGGCGACTTTTACTGCTGCCTGCAAGTGCACTGTGGGAGGGTGGAGAGAGGATGGAGCCAGAGCCTTCCCAGAGGACAGGCACTGACCGAGGTGTGCATCTCTAATAGGGACAGAATCGTTCCCCTGTTGCTCTGGGAGGAGTTCAGAGGGAAGGAGGGGCTGGCCTGAGGAGCCCCACGTACCATGAACAGGGAGTGGTGGTGCTCGATCAGCCTCTGGAGCACCAGGATTATGGCAGCACTGTCCTCAAAGTTCAGGGCACTGGCATCTTTCTCTCCAGGCTTCTCCTTCTGCAGGATGTTGGGACCAAAGACTGTAGCCAGGTTTGACACTGTCATTTTATTCCCAGGGATCTACAAGGAAGCACAAAAGGAACTGTGGACTGTGGATGCAGTGGCATGGGATGTCCCAGGATATCCTCACCCACCCCAGGGCAGGAACACAAGGGTGAGGTGAGGGCCAGATGTTGGTCTGGGTGCAGTTTGGTCCTCTCTGAGCTGGTGGCAGGGCCAGCACAAAGGGCTTGAGGTGCTGGAGCA